TCCATACGAATGAAATTTTTCACAGTCCATATCTCTGGAAGTATTTAGGTTAGACATCTGAAATTTGGTGAGGGGTTATATGAGAGCGATCCCTACCACCTCCAAAAAAACTGGGGATAATGAAAAAGGGGGCGTGGCACCTCCCATACGAATGAAATTTTTCACAGTCCATATCTCTGGAAGTATTTAGGTTAGACATCTGAAATTTGGTGAGGGTTTATATGAGATCGATCCCTACCACCTCCAAAAAAACTGGGGATAACGAAAAAGGGGGCGTGGCACCTCCCATACGAATGCAATTTTTCACAGTCCATATCTCTGGAAGTATTTAGGTTAGACATCTGAAATTTGGTGAGGGGCATTTAACCATACAGCGCCATGTATGAAGGATGCCAAATGCTCCAAAAATTATCCAAAAAACTTTAGGAAAGAAACCGAAACCGGATGTGATGGTTATCCTGCTTACAGAAGACGTCAACCTGAAGATGGAGGCTTCAAAGCAACCGTTAAAATAAAAAACGTTAACGTTGAGGTTGATAAGAGGTGGGTTGTACCATATTCGCCCCTTTTGTCAAAAATGTTTCAAGCACATATTAACGTAGAGTATTGCAACTCGGTCAAATCAATAAAATATATTTGCAAATACGTTAATAAGGGCAGCGACATGGCAGTTCTCGGAATCACTAACGCTAATGATGAAATAACGCAATACCAAATGGGACGATACATTAACAGCAATGAAGCAGTTTGGCACATTCTCCGCTTTTCTATCCACGAGAGGTATCCACCAGTTGTTCACCTGTCAGTACACCTTGAGAATGGCCAGCGTGTTTGGTTTACGGAGTCGAACGCGTTGGCACAAGCTTTAAATCCACACGACACTACATTGACTGCTTTTTTCAAGTTGTGTCAGCATGACAGTTTTGCCAGAACATTGCTGTATGTGGAAGTTCCTAAGTTCTATACCTGGAATTCCTCCAAAAAAGAATTCATAAAGAGAAAACAAGGCGCAATCGTGCCCGATACAGAAGCGCGCCAAGGTGATTCTTTAGGACGTGTTTATACAATCCATCCAAGTAACGCTGAGTGCTTCTATCTAAGGCTGTTGCTACACAAAGTCAAAGGACCGGTGTCCTTTCAAGCTTTACGAACTGTGGATGGTGTATTATGTTCGACGTATCGACAAGCTTGCCAACATTTAGGTCTACTGGAAAACGATAATCACTGGGAAATAACTTTATCTGAAGCTGGACTTTCATGCCTTCCTTCGCAGCTTCGCAGCTTATTCGCAATAATATTGACAACTTGCTCGCCATCAGATCCTAAAGCACTATGGGAAAATCACAAAGATAATCTTAGTGAAGACTACATGAGAACAGCACGAACTGCAAACAATAATACAAACATGGTCTGCTCATTGCAAATTTACAACCAAGCACTAATCGATATAGAAAATATATGTATTTCAATTAATAATAAGTCCTTAGAGCATTTGGGATTAACTTCTCCCGTTCGAGACAGAATAGATTTGGCCGACAAAGATATCTCCCGGGAGATGAATTACGATATCGATGTTCTTCGTTCTTTTATAAGCAAAAACAAACCTCTATTGGTTTCGGATCAAAAGGTCGCATATGAAACTATTCAAAGAATGATTATTGACAATAAGGGAGGATTGATATTTTTGGATGCGCCTGGAGGAACCGGCAAAACATATTTGCTGAATTTGATATTGGCTGATGTAAGAGCAAAGAAAGAAATCGCTGTGGCAGTTGCTTCTTCAGGAATAGCGGCTACCCTTTTGTGTGGCGGGCGTACAGCTCACTCAGCTTTTAAGTTACCACTGTCTCCGCAAATATCTGACACACCGATGTGCAATATAAGCAAAAATTCAGGACAAGGTAGGGTTCTCAAGACATGTAAGCTAATCGTGTGGGATGAATGCACAATGGCCAATAAAAAGTCGCTGGAAGCTTTAGACCGATCTCTTAGAGACTTGAGAGGTAATGATCAGCCCATGGGTGGTGCTTTACTCTTACTGGCAGGGGACTTTCGACAAATTCTTCCAGTTATTCCGAAAGGAACCGCCGCAGATGAAGTTAATGCTTGCTTAAAATCGTCATATCTATGGGGCTACGTACAAAAATTGACTCTTTCAACAAATATGAGAGCACATTTGGGAGGAGACGCTTCAGCAGAAGTTTTTGCGGAACAACTTCTTAATATAGGCAATGGAAAAATACCAATTTCTTTACCACCAAATTTAATTTCGTTTCCCCCAGGTTTTTGCCAACTTATGACATCAATCGAGGCTTTGATAGAAAATGTATTTCCAAACATTGAAGCCAATCACACAAACTATAGATGGCTTCGCGAAAGGGCCATTTTGGCACCTAAAAATGACAATGTCAATGTCATTAATACCAAAATTCAAGAAATACTACCAGGAACTGTCACAACTTATCATTCTATTGACACAGTCGTTGAAGAATCCCAGGCTGTGCATTATCCCGTTGAGTTTTTAAACTCCTTGGAGCCATCAGGAGTTCCTCCTCATCGACTGACGCTTAAAAAAGGAGCCATGATAATTATGCTGCGGAATTTGGATCCTCCACGTTTATGCAATGGGACGAGGCTTATTATCACGAAACTGTTACCAAATGTTATCGAAGCTATGATTTTATCAGGAAGTCTTGAAAACCACAAAGTTTTCATACCAAGAATTCCAATGATACCGACGGATATGCCTTTTCATTTTAAACGCCTCCAATTTCCTATAAGATTGGCTTTCGCAATGTCCATTAATAAAGCTCAAGGACAATCACTAGCTGTTGCAGGAGTCAATCTCACCAACTCATGTTTTACCCATGGCCAATTATACGTAGCTTGCTCCAGAGTTGGCACACCGAAAAACCTTTTTATTTATACTCCAAATAATATGACAAAAAATGTGTGATCGTTTTAAATAATATGTAAATTCACTTAAAAAAACTTTAATTTGTTTTATTTACATTGGATATTTTTAATAGAAATGTGGGGTGAAACCCACGGGTATAAGCTAGTTACATATAATTTCAAGCATTGGTTCAGTAACGCTATGCAAATAGAGGCACTCCCCACGGGGGAATTCTGTTCCGCTACTATGGGTGGTGCCATGAACGACATTCTTCTGGCTCTCGACAAATGTGGAGTGAAAGTAGTAGCATATGCGATACGATAAGCGAAACCCAGAGGGAGCTTTGCTCGGCTAAATACC